GGAGGTGGTAACCCACCCACAGGATCGATCCAAGGGGATCGACCTGCTCTGATAGCATGTGAAAGTTTAGAAGAGAGAAGAGGGCTGCACTAGCAAGAATGGGGATACAAATAGCAAACCCTAGAAGGGTTGTACTCGCTATAGAGCACCCCACTACAAGCTAGAGCATAAGATAACATTCTGACAAGGCGAACACAACTGTGTACGTTGCGCATGGGATTGTGCATGAAATTCCGGCGAAAACTGCCGCGACTCGATTTCCCACCGCACAGAACCTGTCCTGGAGCAACGCACCTGCCAGCGATGACGTGCATCCTGGCGTGCGGCCCAATAGGAACGTCATGCGCTGCCATGGTGCAACATTACACCCGAACCATCTACAAGGGGGTGGAATCTCCTTGCCAGCGCAGCAAATTCGTGCCGCGATACCCTCCTCTCCGGGTTCAGGCAGGGGGGCACCCGTCTATCCCCGATGAGGACCCCAAGCCGCAACTCAGAAGGGGTCCCCGCTAATCTTTCATTTCAGCACTCGATTCATTCAGTTTTGGTAGTCCGATTCTTGTTTTCGCCCGCCTGGCTGCGACAGCCATGGCGGAATTCTCAGGCACACACTTTTTGTTCAAGAAGAAGCCCGCGCGTAGGCCCGCCTTTGTAGTCGACGTCGACGGATGGTACTCCCGTGTCCCAGCTGAACCACCACAGCCACCACAGCCTCCAGCGCCTCTTGCGTCGCCTGCTCCTCCTGCTCCTCCTTTGCCGCCTGCGCCTCCTGCTCCTCCTGTTCCTCCGTCTCCTCCGATTCTGGGATGTCCTCAGTAGACAGGGGATCCGCCCGTGCTCACGCTCCTGCTCCCGACTGCGTTCGACGAGTGGCTGGAGGAACCGGAAAGCAACAAGGCCCAAGATGTTGAGGTACCCGGCGCACCTTACCTTGGACCACGTTGGGGCCGGCCCGATGATTGCACCATGTGGGACGAATCTGCACTCGGAGCTGACGACGACGTGGCTGAGGACGAGGAAGCGAGCCGTGCTGACGGCGACGAGGCTGAGGAAGGTGGCGCGCAGGGCGGCACCGCAGAGGATGTGTTTCCTGAAGGCGTACCTGGTGGCGACGACGACGATGGTGTCGAGTACTGGTCACGTGACGGGCTCCCAGAGGAACTGCCGATACCTTCCTTTCCACCAGCTAATCGCAAGCGACCCCACCCGTCTACCCAGAACCGTGATGCCCGCCCCCCCTCTCCCAGGCACAAGATCAGCGATCACAAGCGCAAAGGCTACACAGCTACGGAGAAGTTGAAGTACGTCGCGATGCTGGATGTGGCGAAGTCGGTGCGCGCACTAGCTCGGGAGTGTGGGATTCACCGGAAGTGTCTCGCCAACTGGAAGGTGGCAGCGGGGTTTCTCAAAGAAGCACACTCCGGGCGGAAGCGCATGCACGGTCGCGGGCGGGCCTCGTGGTACCGCCCCATGGAGTTGAAGGTGTACGAGCGGCTCCTGGACTGGCGCCGCAAAGGAACCGCCGTGTCGGTCGGCCGTCTGCGGGAGTGGTCGAGGGAGTTCATGAAGATCCTCTACCCGGACGACAAGTGGAGCGGGAGTCAGAGATGGTCGGAGCGGTTTCGGAAGCGGTGGAATCTGAGCGTCCGCATGAAGACGCGGGTTGCTCAGAAAACAGCCGCTCGTAAGATTACGCCCCTTGCTTTTATGTCTAAGTTTCAGGTTCACTTACTAAACTGCCGTCTATCCCGCCCGCTTTCCCCCGTCTCACAGATCTTGCGGAGCAGTGCCAGAAATTCTGGCGTTTTGTCCGACACATGCGTCGCGCGCGCGGCATTGAGCCATGCTGGATCCTCAACGCTGACCAGACGCCGCTCTGGCTGGAGATGCCCGCCACCACGACCGTGGATCAGACGGGCGTACGGTCGGTGCCCATCCGGAGTGCAGGTTACCAGAAGAAGCGTGTGACCGTGATGCTGGCGTGCACGGCGGACGGGGCGAAGCTCAAGCCGTGGGTATTTTTCAAGCGGAAGACGCTGCCGAAGGGCAGCTTTCCTCCTGGTAATAAGTAGCAACTGCCGCTGCCTTACCGTATCGTTTCTCATGCCGCGCTAACAGTTTAAGTGCCATTTCTGTGTGCAGATGTGGTCGTGGCTTGCCAAAGAACGGGTGGATGAACACAGAAGGCGTCATCCGCTGGCTTGAGGAGTGTGTCAAGCCCTTCTTGAAGCCCCGATTTGGCAGGTGTGCGAAGAGCTCTATGCTCGTGCTGGATTCCTACCGCGGCCACCTTACCGAGGGGGTGAAGGAGAAGCTCCGCGAGATCAACTGCGTGCCTGCTGTCATCCCGTCGGGTTGTACGGGTGAGGTTCAGCCACTCGACGTCTCCATCAACAAGAGCTTCAAAGCATCTGTTCGTCAGCAGTACCAGAAGTGGTTTCAGGAGGAGGGCCAAGAGCAACTGACAGCTGCAGGTACGTTGTTTCCGTTAAACACGCATGTTTATCCCCCTTTCACCCTTGGTCACTGACACGGCTTTCCCGGGTGTCTCTGTTGCGGTGCAGGGAATCTGAAGAAGCCCCCCCCAGAAGTGGTCCTTCGATGGATTTCATAAGCCTGGAAAGCAGTACCCTCCGACCTCGTCAAGCGCGCCTTCCTCACCTGCGGCATTAGCAACGCGCTTGACGGCAGTGAGGACCACCTCGCCATGGCGCACAGGCGGAGCCAGCTAACGGCGGAAGTGGATGTAGACGACGACATCATCGCCGACGGATTCTTTGGCAACAACTGCCAGGAGCCCGAGTCTGACGAGGAGTAGTTCCGGTACTAGCACCTAGGTAGAATAGCAGATTAAGTCTAAAATTGTGTATTGACTTGTAGTATACGTTGAAGCGAACGATGTTATACTTGTTTTGCTTTTGTTGTGGTGGTAAAAAAAAGTGTTAATATTGAGGTTGGCGCTTATAATAAGGAAGGGTACAAAAGGGGTGGCGCTTATTAATCGAGGATCGGCCATAAGCGCCATGCTCCAGATAGAAGCGCCGGCGCCTATATCCGGGGCCATACGGTATTTCAATCCCGGGCAATTTCAACACCTTTGTCTCGACCTGTGGTCCTGCGTCGAGCGCGGTTTGGACCTCAAAACCTCTTTATAAAGCTCAGGACCGAGTAGAAAGTCTGTAAACGGTTCTAAAAAGTACGAAACCGAGTGAAACCGCGCTGACTATGTGAACTTTTCTGTTCCCCAACAGTTTCAACAGGAGGGCTGAACGACAAAGACGCGATTCGGGCCCAGGTGTTGAAATTAGCGGGGGAGAGGTGTACCAGAATTTATGTAGGGCGGTTCTAGGGCCATTTGACGCGGTCAATTCTGTCAATCGCCTTAGGTTGTCACCGCTTCAGACCTTTGCGCACCAGGATGAACCTTTCGAATTTAGCCCACCACAGAAAAGCATGTCCATTCCTTGTCCCAACATCCAGTGTACTAGGAATGGACATACTTTCCCACTTAGGACGTGTCCCATGAGTTCGTTTACAGTTCAAGTTCAGTGTTGTAACCCTGTTTCCCGTCTGTAACCCTTCCCTGCATGACATGCGTCTTCATGACACGCCTAGGACGTCAAGATGTTCGTACTATCCCACGTACAAGGTACGTGAGATCACTTCGTACCGGTTCCTCCATTCCGTTACCCCAATCGGAGACTTCGCGCACATTCAGTCGCGCGAAGAAAAAACTAAGTTTCGCAAGGGGCGCAATTGATTCGCACAGTGGCGGGTTACCGCTCGTGGCCCATGTTCGGATGACGATTTTTGTGTGGGTGGGGCTATGAGTCCGCGTGGGTCAATTTCGTTTGGCGCTGTGCTGACGCGCTGCGTGTTTTTCACGTCTGAGTGTACACTCTTTTGCTTGGTCGAAGTTACGTAAAAAATATGATTTTCTCCCCAAATTAACTCATTGGACACGCCCTGATTAGTTACACAGACGTCCCTTGCCTGTTCCGCGAATCTAGCTCGGGGACAGGCTGTTATTGAGCTTCGCAAAGGATGGCGACAAAACAGCTTCGGATAAAGCTTTACTCGTCAAGTGTTTCAGAAGATTGTCGGATCTAAGCCCGAACCATTAAGTTATTCGCGAGGCGCTATTCTTTCTCGCTTCACATCAGGCGCCTGGCAGGCATCATCGGTAGGTCGAATGGACAGGGATATCACTCCGAGTCGATCGACCTTGAAAAACGCACTGCGATTGTGGACTCTGTGTCGCAAGCTTCGCAGCTCAGTTCGCGATCGTCGCATGATGCACGTCCCGTGCTGCCATCAACGTCGTCAGCGTCTCCCCTGTCGCGCGTCTCTCGTGCGTTTTCGCACATGTTGACGACTTTAGGATTCAAAACGGGAGGTTTTATAGACGAGAAGAGGAGTCCTCAGTTGGGGCCTTATATGGATGGGGCTCACTACGTGCTCGTTTCCGTCATGATCCTATGTCTCCTCGTACTCGTTATAGCTGAATCGTTACCGCCATGGGTGACTGGCGGATCCGATGCGGGAGCGGGAAGCATGAGCGCGGTGGGATTGGCGGCAGCAGGGGGAGCGAGCGGAAGGTGGCGCTTAAAATGGGGCCCTCTTTTCCCCCTGCAGCTGCGAAAGCCGCTGCTTGTCGCCTACAAAACAAACGCAACAGGAGATAACTTATCTCCCGCTGTTACTGATGGCGCCGCCGTTAGTGATGGCGCCGCCGTTAGTAATGGCGCTGCCATTAGTAATGGCGCTACTGCCATTCGCGCTGCTTCCAGCGTTTCCGATGGCAGCGTAGGGCAGCCCAGACGACGAAGAGTATGCTGGACGTCGTCAGGAGGTGAGATTCCAGAAAGTAGTATGCGAAATATGAGTTGGTTGTGTTTTACAATGCGCGGCCTGAAATATCTGAGCCGCCTCAAGAATAGGTGACGTCCAATTGCATGTGAAATCCGAGTTGCAAGACGCCTCGAAGATCGACAGCGAGTATGCTGGACTGGACGAGTCGCCCGTGCACCTCGCCATCCTGTTTCCGCTCATCGCGTTTCCCCCTGCCCCCTCCCTTCTCATTGACGTGATGTGACGTGACTAATGTCAACACGCCCCAAAACATTCTCTCATGCAATGCGACCCTCCTGTTTAAATCCCCTTACGCAACCCCGTGTTCACCCTCCCTCCCTTCACATCTGCATCTGCCTGCGCAGACTATGCATTCCCGTCCCCCGCGAAAGTGGTGATCCACGGCTCAGGTTGCGCCACGTGTCAGCGCGGGCAGCGCTGCTCCTTCCGCGTCTGGGAGCAGCTGCTGGGGAAGGCGGTCAAGGAGAGCTGGTGGAGGCGCGACTTAGCTCTGACTTTAAGAGGCGCTGCGCTAGCTCACGGGGACATTAGGTGTCTAGACCCTCTGCACTGCACGGAGTTTAGAGTGTCGTACCACGTGTGTGTGGGACTTCAGCAATTACTGGTGAGTCTAATCTCGAGGCGCCTTAATGTGAGGTAGTTGATTGTATTGAACGCCTCACCAATCTGCTCTTCTGTTGTCTCCTCCTTCGCACCACATCCTTATCCCTGCCAATCCTTGGCACCACCTTTGAATCCCTCCCAACCCCTTTGCTTTGCTCCTCTTGCATCGCAAAAACAGATGGGTAGGTAGAAGGGGTAGGTTTTGAATCACAAGTTTCTCTATCAAAAGTTGCCATTTTCATGGGCGCGTCGAGAAATTTATAAAAAATACACTGTTTCAGTTGGCATGCAATTTTGGGTGGTGGGGGGGGGGGGGGGGGGGGGGGGGGGGGGAGGAGTTGATTGGATGAGTTTCATTTTATAAGGAGATGCTGCTGTTCGCGAAAATTCTGGTTTTGTCTCATTGGTTGTTCATCTCCAAAAAAGGATGACTTCAACCTAACCCTAGCCCGACAGCCATGTGGACTGGGTGAGCTGCAGTCGGGAAGTCACTTTTAGCAAAATAAAGACAGTAGTACTAATCTGTATGTTCTACCCTGCTAAGTGCCAAGAAAATGCCAAAAAGGGACGACTTCAATGGACCGTTGAGCAAAGGGCGAACGCGAACATGTTCGCCCTTGCACGAACATGGCCGCTCGGCGAACCGAACAAGGGTGTTCGCCGTTCCTCTGTGAAGGCGTGTTCGGGTGAACCTCAAACACGTTCGTGTTCGACACGGGGTGTTCTGCAGCAGCGCCACGAACACGAACGTGTTCGGGCAAACCTCGAACACGTTCGGGTGAACAATTTAAGCTAAAAATCAAAACCTGTTCGGTTCTTTGCTCATCCGTTCAACATAACCCTAGCCCGACCCAGGGTCACCTTCGGGACACGTGGGGTGCGGCAACCTCACCTCCCCCTCCACCTTCGTTCCAGCCGCTCCCTCCTTCACCTTGCCCTCTCATACCCTACGGGCCCCACATGCCCCTCTCTGCTCCTCCTTGCAGGGCGACGCTGCATGTGGAGTGCGCACCCAGTTGCTCCCTCCCTCGCTCTGACTCTCGCCTTCCCCATGCCACCCACATCCCCCCACACCACACCCTTCCCCCTGCTGCTCTGCTCCTCCTTGCAGGGCGATGCTGCACGTGGGGTGCGCCAATCTCAAATTTTCCCCAGCCCTTGCGCACCACAACCGCATGCACCAGCACAGCCTCGCCTCCTGGCCAATCACAATCACGCCACGTGGTGAAGCTTTGGCGAGAGCCAGCAGTCCTGGTATCAGCAGCAGCATTGACACCAGCAGTCCTGGTATCAGCAGCAGCATTGACACCAGCAGTCCTGGTATCAGCAGCAGCATTGACACCAGCAGTCCTGGTATCAGCAGCAGCATTGACACCAGCAGTCCTGGTATCAGCAGCAGCATTGACACCAGCAGTCCTGGTATCAGCAGCAGCATTGACACCAGCAGTCCTGGTATCAGCAGCAGCATTGACACCAGCAGTCCTGGTATCAGCAGCAGCATTGACACCAGCAGTCCTGGTATCAACAGCAGCATTGACACCAGCAGTCCTGGTATCAGCAGCAGCATTGACACCAGCAGTCCTGGTATCAGCAGCAGCATTGACACCAGCAGTCCTGGTATCAGCAGCAGCATTGACACCAGCAGTCCTGGTATCAGCAGCAGCATTGACACCAGCAGTCCTGGTATCAGCAGCAGCATTGACACCAGCAGTCCTGGTATCAGCAGCAGCATTGACACCAGCAGTCCTGGTATCAACAGCAGCATTGACACCAGCAGGAGCAGCAGCAGCGGCGGCAGGCAGCAGCAAGGGTAACAGCGGTAGCACCACCACAGCCGCCACTCATGTAGAAGCAGCAGGCAAGAGGCAGGATGAGGAGCAGGAGGCGGCAGAGGATTGGCTGGATTCCCCGTGTGTGGGGACGTCACTGCCAGGGGTGGTGAAAGCAGTTGGGTCACTCAGGTATGTGCGCGGGGATGGGTGTCGATCAGTGAAGCTGGGTCTTGTCTAGATGGGTGCAGATGGGTGTTGATGGGCAGTGTGTATGGCCGCGTGGGTGTGGATGGTGTTATCTTATGGGCCGCCCCGAAAATCGTCTTTTGAGGCGCCTCAATCACCCTTCCCACCTTCCCCACTCCCCCCATGCCATCCTCTCTCCCCCCTCCTCCCCAGGTGGGTCTTCTACCGGTGCTCGCCCTCCCCCATCGGAGTGGATAGGCGTGTTACACGAGAGGGGTATCCATGAGCTTTGTGGGCGATAGCCACCATTGGTTCCTAGCGGCGCATCTGCACGTGCTGGTGGTGCATCTGCACGTGCTGGTGGCGCATCTGCACTTGCTGGCGGCGCATCTGCACCTGGGGCGTTCTCCCACTCTGCCCTGCGCTACACTGCTCGGCTCTACTTCGACGAATCAGCGGGCACCGGGAAACGAAGAAGAAGAAGAAAGAGAAAGCATGCTGAAAAGCAGTGTGCACACCTGAAAGTAGACGCCAAAGATTCAGCGTTCAACAGAAAAAGGAGGAGAAAAAAACTGGAAACTTTTTATTTTGTATATGAAAAGTAAGAAATATTAGCACTGAAAAAACATCACTATTTCTACGCTGCCTTCTGGGTCCCTGTTCCTTCCTGTCACTTCCCCTCACGGCCAGCCTAAGTTGGTAGCACTTCTTGTCCAATTCACATAAGCTCAACCCTGTCTGAGGAAAGAATTATTTAGGGGCATGTAGTATTTCCCCCTTTCCCCCTCTTCCCCTTCCCCTTTCTCCCTTCCCACACCATCCCGTTTCTCTTTTCCCCCTTCCGCTACCATGCTCCCACGTCTCCCCCTTCCGCTACCATGCTCCCACGTCTCACAGGACTGCCCGCACAGCCAGCAAGCGGTGAAACGTCAGGAAGCAAATGGCAAGGGGATGATGAGTGGTGCAAGGGGATGGTGAGTGGTGCAAGGGGATGATGAGTGCAATGGCGTATGCCCTGTTCGTGCAGCCCAAATTTTCTTTCCGCTGCACCTGCTTCCCTATCTCCCTTCATCCCCCCAACCCCCTCAACATCACGTTCCCCATCTCCTCCTCCCCCCCTTTGCTGGCAGCATGATGCCAACGGTACCGGGCACGTACACAGGCAATTTCAACCTGTGTGTGCAGGCCATCCCTTACTTTCACCACACTGTCCCCGCCCAAGCACTACCCTGAGGATGGCGTGTGGCACTTCACCTCCACCATTACCAACGTTCCCCAAGGTGACTATGTGACGGTTACACGGGTTCCGTATAAAGTTCACTGATATGTTGACGCTCTTGTGGGCATTTGTTGTGTGAAGGAGGGTATTTAGGAGTAAAAACTGCTCCAACAACAAACAAGTTTGTACACATATCGTGTCATTTACAGGTGGGGCTTTGAGCATTGTGGAATGAAGCTGATTTTGCGACTCCACGAAGAAGCCGTGCCATCATCAAAACAATAACATTCGCCATTAGGAGCACAGTTCAGGGCGGCACAGGGATCTGCCTGGGGGTGAGGCAGACAAGAGGGGAGAGGGGCGGAGGGGACGTGAAATGAGCGGTAGTGGGATTCAGGATTGAAGACAACAAGACATATTAAACGAGATGCGGGAACGCAGGAAAGTAGTGAAGCCATTGCCGAGTCAGCACAGCAGCAGTTCGAGTCTAGGTAGCATCACATCACCCACCGACTGCAGCACCTTTTGTGCTCACTACTGAAGCCCTTTTAGCCTCAAACAAGCTGCCGTTCTCACCTTGTCAGCCAGGCAACTATTCTTGCCAACAACGTTGGATATGATGGGGATGTGCCACACCAGTAGCCTTGCAGGTAACACAAGCTCAGCATGTTGAAAATTACTGTGCTATGTATACGTATGTATACATGAATATTTGCATCGTGCTCGTAGTGTACTGTTGGTGAGATGTTTGCCAGAGTTTCCATTATGATATTATTCAATATTTCCGACAGGAACCGTGTCTCGTGGGCTCTTAGATTCTTAGAGGGTAAAACCATTCGGGTCATGTATAATTTGCCAATGCATTGTTCGCACAACATCAACTTTCATATTCATAGCTGGAGCTGGTGTTCTAGACAGGGGGAGCTATCGCGCACCTCCTGCTTCTTCGTTATAGCGCAATCGAAGCAGCTTTTGAAAGGGTATGTTTCAGCACCCATTTTGAATCCACAACCAGAAACCGTTGCTCCCGATCCACTGAACATAACGTCATGTCGTTGTTTTCGAGCAATGCAGTTAGCCGAACATCGACAATGCACAATGCATCATGGCTTCTAGCAAGAACGGCGTACTGAGGCTCTTATTGTGAGCCAGCTGACTGAAGCTGTTCTACAGAAGCGATCACGATCCGTTAGCGAAGCTCATTATGTCGCGTACGCACGCGTCAAACCCTGGTGTCGTCGTCAGGCGACTTCAGGCGGCTCTCACTCGTCGCATTCTGCCTGTCGCCGTCGCGCTGACCGTCGCATACTTGGCGATCTTCGAGCTGCGACCTACCGCACTGTCGTCGGGGTCGACGTTTTTCCCGCAAAGCGGCTGCGAAACGGCGAGGAATTGTCATGGCACACTGCTGGACAGATATGTTTATACCGCGGATGCGGAATTCGGGTGAGTTTTTTCCAACTATACTGCCCTTCGCCTTGGCAGAAGCGAATGACGGCCACCGAACCATGCAGCCATAATCTTCCAAATTCCACCTTGAGTTGAAGTATGCCATCCGCCGTGAGGTCAACAGACGACCCATTGTTTACCCTCTGGGTCTCACCAAAGGGTCTCACCAGAGGGTCCCTCCTCACCGAACCCTTGCACATTGTCAAACTGAGAAGCGGGTAGATCGCAGCAAGCTCGGTTTGGCCGACCAGTCATGTTCACCTCACTGACGGCCGAACAGAGGGTCCCTCCTCACTGAACCCTTGCACCCTCAAGTCCCTTGGATCCTTGGCTTCATCGTGCACGCTCGTTATAAGCACAAGTTGGCGGTCTGCACGTTTGGATCGCCTCTTGGTGAGACGGAGTTGGCGAAGGTTAGGTGCTGCTCGTCTGCGTCTGCCCCGTCTGTTGCGATTCAGGAGCTTTCCAGCCACCCAAGTGGGAAGGAGGACACGTGGGTAACTGGGTAACCACCTGCGGTCAGGAGCCTGTAGGGTGGCGTGTGACCACTGACTGATCCCATACCTGCCTTGAGTTTGCGTGCTCACATATCTCCGCGTTTTAGCTCTTACAATCTGCGTGTGGTTAGGTATGCTTGTGCTCTCTCGCTCTCCCACCTCCATCCACTTGTGCTGAGGGGAGGTTTAGTATGCTTGTGCCCTCTCTCTCCCACCTCCCTCCAGGCACAGGTGGCTCAAAAGCTGTCACTCGCACTCACCAACCCATCCTACCTACCTTATGGTGTCTGTTACTCTCTCTCTGCCCTGCTGCTGACAGGTGGAAGGACACGGGCAACCGCATGCAAGCCAAGGAGCTAAAACCTCTTGTAGGAATTCTCATTCTTTTCCTGTGCCTGGCTGCACCTGCTCTCAGGTGGAAGGACACGGGCAATCGCATGCGAGCCAAGGAGCCTGGGGGGTGGTGGACGGGGTATGTGCTGCTGGTGAACGCCCACCGCTGGCTCAACCAATCCGTTACCAACCGATTCCATTGGTGGCACCACCTAACACTCATTGTGAGCACTGGGCTTTTCGTTTCAAGCTGCACTATATAGCTTCAGGCTGGTGGGGCATGAAGAGCTTCACATAGTTCTGGGAAACAGCGCTGTCGTTCCCAATCCACCAACATGCGGAGCAGTGGTCTCGTGCGCTTGCTTACTGCAGCCTGGGTGTAGTTGGTGTGGTGTTGGTGTGGCTGTTTGGTGCGGTGCCATGAGGTACTGTCCCATGAGGTGCCAAATGGGTGTTTATGCCATGTGGTGGCAAGGCAAGGCATGAAGCCTAACCTCCAACGGTTGCCTCCGAGCGCCAGCAAGGGGCTGGTGCTGTTCTTTATGGTCTGGGGATTTTTTATCTAAAGCATGTCTTGTGCATCTTCAAGGCATGTCTTGTGCATCTTCAAAGCATGTCTTGTGCATCTTCAAAGCATGTCCTGTGGATCCTCAATGCATGTCTTATGCATCCTCAATGCATGTCTTATGCATCCTCAATGCATGTCTTATGCATCCTCAATGCATGTCTTGTGCGGGTCAATGCATGCCATGTGCGGGTCAACGCATGCCATGTGCGGGTCAACGCGTGCCATGTGCGGGTCAACGCATGCCATGTGTGGGTCAACGCATGCCATGTGCGGGTCAACGCGTGCCATGTGCGGGTCAACGCATGCCATGTGTGGGTCAACGCATGCCATGTGCGGGTCAACGCATGCCATGTGCGGGTCAACGCATGCCATGTGCGGGTCAACGCATGCCATGTGCGGGCGGGTCAATGCATGCCATGTGCGGGTCAACACATGCCATGTGCGGGGCATGCCATGTGCGGGTCAACGCATGCCATGTGCAGGTCAACGCATGCCATGTGCGGGTCAACGCATGCCATGTGCGGGTCAACGCATGCCATGTGCGGGTCAACGCATGCCATGTGCGGGTCAACGCATGCCATGTGCGGGTCAACGCATGCCATGTGCGGGTCAACGCATGCCATGTGTGGGTCAACGCATGCCATGTGCGGGTCAACGCATGCCATGTGCAGGTCAACGCATGCCATGTGCGGGTCAACGCATGCCATGTGCGGGTCAACGCATGCCATGTGCGGGTCAACGCATGCCATGTGCGGGTCAACGCATGCCATGTGTGGGTCAACGCATGCCATGTGCAGCTTCAATGCTTATCTTGTGTTTCTCCATCCATCCTCCCGCCCGCCCAGGCGCCGGACAACATGTCGCGTGCCAGCAAGGGGCTCGTGCTGTTCTTCGTGGGGGCGGGGTTTGAACGACCACGGGCGGGGCGACTGGAGCTACCACATCCCCAAAGACTCCGACGTCTTCATCCGCGTCGCTGCCCCGTGAGTGGCGTGCAGTGCAGTGTGGCGCAGTGCGGTGCAAGTGGGCGTGAGCGGTGGGAGCACCGTGTGCCAAGGGGTGGAATGACGATGGCAGGGATGACCGGCGCTACCACATCCCCAAACAGACCGGCGTCTACATCCTTGTCGCTGCACCATGAGTGGCAGAGAGTGGCGTGAGTGACAGAGAGTGGCGTGAGTGACAGAGAGTGGCGTGAGTGACAGAGAGTGGCGTGAGTGACAGAGAGTGGCGTGAGTGACAGAGAGTGGCGTGAGTGACAGAGAGTGGCGTGAGTGACAGAGAGTGGCGTGAGTGACAGAGAGTGGCGTGAGTGACAGAGAGTGGCGTGAGTGACAGAGAGTGGCGTGAGTGACAGAGAGTGGCTTGAGTGACAGAGAGTGGCGTGAGTGACAGAGAGTGGCTTGAGTGACAGAGAGTGGCGTGAGTGACAGAGAGTGACGTGAGTGACAGAGAGTGGCGTGAGTGACAGAGAGTGGCGTGAGTGACAGAGAGTGGCGTGAGTGACAGAGAGTGGCGTGAGTGACAGAGTGTGGCGTGAGTGACAGAGAGTGGCATGAGTGACAGAGTGTGGCGTGAGTGACAGAGAGTGGCGTGAGTGACAGAGAGTGGCGTGAGTGACAGAGAGTGGTGTGAGAGACAGAGAGTGGCGTGAGTGACAGAGAATGGCGTGAGTGACAGAGAGTGGCGTAAGTGACAGAGAGTGGCGTGAGAGACAGAGAGTGGCGTGAGTGACAGAGAGTGGCGTGAGTGACAGAGTGTGGCGTGAGTGACAGAGTGTGGCGTGAGTGACGGAGAGTGGCATGAGTGACAGAGTGTGGCGTGAGTGACAGAGAGTGGCGTGAGTGACAGAGAGTGGCGTGAGTGACAGAGAGTGGTGTGAGAGACAGAGAGTGCGTGAGTGACAGAGAGTGGCGTGATTGACAGAGAGTGGCGTAAGTGACAGAGAGTGGCGTGAGTGACAGAGAGTGGCGTGAGTGACAGAGAGTGGCGTAAGTGACAGAGAGTGGCGTGAGAGACAGAGAGTGGCGTGAGTGACAGAGAGTGGCGTGAGTGACAGAGTGTGATGGAGTGACAGAGTGTGGCGTGAGTGACAGAGAGTGGCGTGAGTGACAGAGAGTGGCGTGAGTGACAGAGTGTGGCGTGAGTGACAGAGAGTGGCGTGAGTGCCAGAGTGTGGCGTGAGTGACAGAGAGTGGCGTGAGTGACAGAGAGTGGCGTGAGTGACAGAGAGTGGTGTGAGTGACAGAGAGTGCGTGAGTGACAGAGAGTGGCGTGAGTGACAGAGAGTGGCGTAAGTGACAGAGAGTGGCGTGAGAGACAGAGAGTGGCGTGAGTGACAGAGAGTGGCGTGAGTGACAGAGTGTGGCGTGAGTGACAGAGTGTGGCGTGAGTGACAGCGAGTGGCGTGAGTGACAGAGAGTGGCGTGAGTGACAGAGAGTGGTGTGAGAGACAGAGAGTGGCGTGAGTGACAGAGAGTGGCGTGAGTGACAGAGTGTGGCGTGAGTGACAGAGAGTGGCGTGAGTGCCAGAGTGTGGCGTGAGTGACAGAGAGTGGCGTGAGTGACAGAGAGTGGCGTGAGTGACAGAGAGTGGTGTGAGAGACAGAGAGTGGCGTGAGTGACAGAGAGTGGCGTGAGTGACAGAGAGTGGCGTAAGTGACAGAGAGTGGCGTGAGAGACAGAGAGTGGCGTGAGTGACAGAGTGTGGCGTGAGTGAGGGACAGAGAGTGGCATGAGTGACAGAGAGTGGCGTGAGTGACAGAGAGTGGCGTGAGTGACAGAGAGTGGCGTGAGTGACAGAGAGTGGCGTGAGAGACAGAGAGTGGCGTGAGTGACAGAGAGTGGCGTGAGTGACAGAGAGTGGTGTGAGAGACAGAGAGTGGCGTGAGTGACAGAGAGTGGCGTGAGTGACAGAGAGTGGCGTGAGTGACAGAGAGTGGCATGAGTGACAGAGTGTGGCGTGAGTGACAGAGAGTGGCGTGAGTGACAGAGAGTGGCGTGAGTGACAGAGAGTGGCGTGAGTGACAGAGAGTGGCGTGAGTGACAGAGAGTGGCGTGAGTGACAGAGAGTGGCTTGAGTGACAGAGAGTGGCGTGAGTGACAGAGAGTGGCTTGAGTGACAGAGAGTGGCGTGAGTGACAGAGAGTGGCGTGAGTGACAGAGAGTGGCGTGAGTGACAGAGAGTGGCATGAGTGACAGAGAGTGGCGTGAGTGACAGAGAGTGGCGTGAGTGACAGAGAGTGGCGTGAGTGACAGAGAGTGGCGTGAGTGACAGAGAGTGGCTTGAGTGACAGAGAGTGGCGTGAGTGACAGAGAGTGGCTTGAGTGACAGAGAGTGGCGTGAGTGACAGAGAGTGGCGTGAGTGACAGAGAGTGGCGTGAGTGACAGAGAGTGGCATGAGTGACAGAGAGTGGCGTGAGTGACAGAGAGTGGCGTGAGTGACAGAGAGTGGCGTGAGTGACAGAGAGTGGCGTGAGTGACAGAGTGTGGCGTGAGTGACAGAGAGTGGCATGAGTGACAGAGTGTGGCGTGAGTGACAGAGAGTGGCGTGACTGACAGAGAGTGGCGTGAGTGACAGAGAGTGGTGTGAGAGACAAAGAGTGGTGTGAGTGACAGAGAGGGGCGTGAGTGACAGAGAGTGGCGTAAGTGACAGAGAGTGGCGTGAGAGACAGAGAGTGGCGTGAGTGACAGAGAGTGGCGTGAGTGACAGAGTGTGGCGTGAGTGACAGAGTGTGGCGTGAGTGACGGAGAGTGGCATGAGTGACAGAGTGTGGCGTGAGTGACAGAGAGTGGCGTGAGTGACAGAGAGTGGCGTGAGTGACAGAGAGTGGTGTGAGAGACAGAGAGTGCGTGAGTGACAGAGAGTGGCGTGAGTGACAGAGAGTGGCGTAAGTGACAGAGAGTGGCGTGAGTGACAGAGAGTGGCGTGAGTGACAGAGAGTGGCGTAAGTGACAGAGAGTGGCGTGAGAGACAGAGAGTGGCGTGAGTGACAGAGAGTGGCGTGAGTGACAGAGTGTGATGGAGTGACAGAGTGTGGCGTGAGTGACAGAGAGTGGCGTGAGTGACAGAGAGTGGCGTGAGTGACAGAGTGTGGCGTGAGTGACAGAGAGTGGCGTGAGTGCCAGATGTGGCGTGAGTGACAGAGAGTGGCGTGAGTGACAGAGAGTGGCGTGAGTGACAGAGAGTGGTGTGAGAGACAGAGAGTGGCGTGAGTGACAGAGAGTGGCGTGAGTGACAGAGAGTGGCGTAAGTGACAGAGAGTGGCGTGAGAGACAGAGAGTGGCGTGAGTGACAGAGTGTGGCGTGAGGGACAGAGAGTGGCGTGAGTGACAGAGAGTGGCGTGAGTGACAGAGAGTGGCGTGAGTGACAGAGAGTGGCATGAGTGACAGAGAGTGGCGTGAGTGACAGAGAGTGGCGTGAGTGACAGAGAGTGGCGTGAGTGACAGAGAGTGGTGTGAGAGACAGAGAGTGGCGTGAGTGACAGAGAGTGGCGTGAGTGACAGATAGTGGCGTGAGTGACAGAGAGTGGCATGAGTGACAGAGTGTGGCGTGAGTGACAGAGAGTGGCGTGAGTGACAGAGAGTGGCGTGAGTGACAGAGAGTGGTGTGAGAGACAGAGAGTGACGTGAGTGACAGAGAGTGGCATGAGTGACAGAGAGTGGCATAAGTGACAGAGAGTGGCGTGAGAGACAGAGAGTGGCGTGAGTGACAGAGAGTGGCGTGAGGGACAGAGAGTGGCGTGAGTGACAGAGAGTGGCGTGAGTGACAGAGAGTGGCGTGAGTGACAGAGAGTGGCGTGAGTGACAGAGAGTGGCTTGAGTGACAGAGAGTGGCGTGAGTGACAGAGAGTGGCGTGAGTGACAGAGAGTGGTATGAGTGACAGAGAGTGGCGTGAGTGACAGAGAGTGGCGTGAGTGACAGAGAGTGGCATGAGTGACAGAGAGTGGCGTGAGAGACAGAGAGTGGCGTGAGTGGCAGAGAGTGGCGCGGTTGCAGTGATGGCTCTCACCCACAGTGCAGGTGTGAGTGAGTGGGAGCACCATGGGAGTGGGAGCTCCATGGGAGTGGGAGCACCATGGGAGTGGGAGCTCCATGGGAATGGGAGCTCCATGGGAGTGGGAGCTCCATGTGGCGCTACCATGCCATGCAGACAGACTTCTTCATCTGTGTTGCTGGTTTGGTTTGTGAGCGGCGTGAGTGAGAGGGACTTGAGTGAGTTCAAAAGGTGTGTTATGAGTGGGAAGAAGGGGCATGATTGTTGGAAATAGGCTGCACTTTGTGTGTTAGCTTTACATTTTTAGGATTTCCAACTTTTAGTTAGTTTGTTTCTGGTTGTGTTGGGTGTAGACTTTTTATCCCCAACCTATCCAAACCTATCCACACCCATCCATCCAATTTTTCCTTGATTTGGATGGATCCTTCTAGGATACTCTTCCAATTGCAACTTATCCACCCAACCCCTCCTAGTTTGTGGTACTTAAGGCCATGTATGATTTTCTTTAACCTATCGATTCAACTCTCATTTCTGACAACAAGTGCAGTGCGTTGCGTGTTTCCACCCACGTTGCAGGTGTGTGTGAGTAGGTGGGGCGTGAGTGGGATTGAGGGGCGTGAGTGGGAGGGGCGTGAGCCTTGTGCCTGTTGCATCGTCCTTCTTCCAGTCCCCCCCATTTCTTCCACACAACCCCTCCCCACCCCCTCCCACCGTCTTGCCTCACATTCAGGCTGGTGGTGGATCTGGGCGTCACCAACCTCCTCCTCTCTCCCCTCCACTCTGCTATGACACCCACTCTGCTGTACCCGCGTGCAGGCTGGTGGTGGATCTGGGCATGCTGGGCGTCATGCTGCACCAGCAGCCCATGATGCCCATCACCTTCTACTCCTCACCGCCTGGCGTCAGCAAGAGCATGAGCCAAGAGCTCATGGAGGAGGAGATCACAGCCTGTAAGCGAGTCAGCTTATACCAGGTCCGCATTGCCCCTGATGTCAGCCGCAGCAGAAGATACCAAGATTTGCACGCATAGGAGATCGCAGTCTGTAAACGAGGCAGGTTATAGCGTGTCCGCTACAGCAGCAGCGTAAGCCAAGATGTGCTAGAGGACGATGCAGTAAGCCTATAGTGTGCTTTTTCCTGCTGATGTCTGCAGCAGTAGCGATACCCCACCTAATAGCTGGTAGTGCGGGAAATGAGTGCATGTGAGGAAATGAGTGCATGTGAGGATATGAGTGCATGTGAGGATATGAGTGCATGTGAGGATATGAGTGCAGAACTTAACTTTCCTTCCCTCGCCCATACCTCCTCCTCTCCCCTCCCCTCACCTGCCTCACCCGCCTCGTCCGCCTCACCTGCCCCCTTTACGCACCTCGTCCGCCTCACCTGCCCCCTTTACGCACCTCGTCCGCCAGTCACACTGGGCATGGCACTGCACGACCCCAGCACCCCCGAGTGGTCCATCTACATGCCCATGGCCAAGTCCCTCGTCCGCGCCCTCGATGCCACCCAGCTCGCTGCCAGGGAGCTGCTGCCGCACGTGCCAGTGAGTGCTGTGCTGCTGCTGCTGCCTCCGTGTTGTTGCTTGCTTGCTTGCTTCCAAGGACCGGTTCTTCCTTGCATCAGTTGAAGGGATGCATGCACGCATGGGGGTAGGGATGCACAGGGGTACAGATGAGTGGGGGTACAGATGAGTGGGGGTACAGATGAGTGGGGGTACAGATGAGTGGGGGTACAGATGAGTGGGGGTACAGATGAGTGGGGGTACAGATGAGTGGGGGTACAGATGAGTGGGGGTACAGATGAGTGGGGGTACAGATGAGTGGGGGTAAGGAAGGACTGCACTTGTTATGAGCTATTACCTGAAATTGCCAAGTCCGGGCCGACCCATGCCCCCCCCACCCCATCCCAGTCATAACGGGCCCGCCCGGGGCTGGCCAGTTAGCAATGATGCCTGGTCCACGGCCCGCCTGCCCGCCATAGTCGCTCCAAGGCGATGGATGATGGGTGGTGAAATTATGGGTGATGGATGCATACATGTATGAATGTATGAGAGTGATGAATGGTTGATGGATGCATGCATAAATTTATGAGAGTGATAAATGGGTGATGGATGGGATGGGAGATGGATGGGATGGGAGATGGATGGGATGTGTGATGGATGGATGACACATCGCGCATTTCAGCCTCACTACCGCCATTTTTCTCCTCCAGCCCATCCATGCCACTCTCTCTCCTCCAGCCCATCCCATGCCATTCTCGCTCCTCCCTGATCGCGTGTGTCGTGTGTGCCCCATTCCTCATTCTCCCTTCCCCCGCCAGGTGGAGGGCTTTGTGAGTGTCGGAGTGAGCAAGAGAGCATGCATGGCTTGGCTCTCTGCCGCGCTCGATAAGGCACGTGCCCCTTCTTTCTTTTATGAAGCAGCTTGTTATCTGTTTGTGCATTTGCTCGTTTTTTTTTTTTTTTTTTTTTTTTTTTTCTAATATATATGTAAAAAATATTTGGGTTGTAATTCATCTGAAACTGAACGTGCCTTTACATAATGGCTCTCCTCCTTTCTTTCCACATCGTCATTTCATCTGCAATCAGCACGCCCCCACTCTGTCCCTCTCTCCCTCTTCAATTCAAACCCAGCTGGCCTCAACCACCCAGTCCGTGATCCTTACCTCCCGCCACCCACTCTGCCCCTCTCTCTCTTCTCTTCCCACAGCGAGTGGTGGCGTTCATATCGTACGGCTATGATCTCATCAACTTTCAGCCCAACATGCAGCACCTGCTCGACTCCCTGGGTGCTGTTCCCATTCTGGGAAGGTTCTACGTGGATTACAACCTCACTCGCTTTCTGCACACCCCACAGCTGCGTCACATCCTGGTGAGAAGGAAGGAATTGAGAGACAGAGAGGGTTAGAGAGGGTTAGAGAGGGATGGAGAGGGATAGAGAGGGAGAGAGGCAGGTGGGTTGGAAATTTGGAACCCACACGAAATAATGAGGAACAAGGAGCCAACAGCAGCCATTAAGTAGGCCCGAGGGCAGAGGGCAGAGGGAAGGAACGAGGTCGAGGTTTGGGGTTCAGGTTAATGGAAAAACGTGTAGGGCTTAGGGAGGGAGGTAGGCAGGGGCGGAGTGGGAGGGGGGGGTGGTCTCGCAGAGTTCTAGTCAACAGCCCAGCCCGAAAGCTCTCCAACCATGCATTTGGGAATGCTTAAAAACTCAAAACCCTTTTCTTTCACTCCACGCTTGACAGACAACAAATGCCACTGACTCACAAGCCCCCCTCCTTCCCCCCCTCCCTTCCCTGTTTCCCTCCCACTCCCGCCCCAAACCCTCCTACCACCACCCCCCCTTCTCCCTTCCCCCACCCCTTTCCCCCCACCCCCATAGAGCTACACGGACCCCTACTTCTTTCGGGAGCGCCTCACCATGCCCAAGCTGCTCATCGCCGCCTCCAACGACGAGTTCTTCTTGATGGACGACTCGTGAGTGCACGCCACCTTTTGAAGGAAGACTCGTGAGTGCCCCAGCCCCCTTCATTGCTGCTGAATAGATGAGCCGTGACTGTCGCATGGATGACTCGGGAGTGTCGCATGGATGACTCATTGATGGACGACTCGTGAGTGCACGTCTCCTGATGCTTGTCTGCATAGCCTTGAAGGATGACTTGTGAGTGCCCCATGCCCCGCTAAGCCCCCTTAATGGCTGCTTGTAGAAAATGGATCGGTGAACTTGAGGGCACAATGTGAAAAGAAAATATATCCTTAGTAGGAAGATGGTACAAGCCTGAGAGGCTAGAGCAATGTCCTAGTCAAAGGATGAGATTTAGTGAAGTAAAAAACCACATATACATGGCTGAACTCTTGAGGCTAGCTGCAGCTCCTCCAAGCTGAGTGCAAGGCTAGCCAACCTTGTCAAGCTAGCAAGTGAGGCCTCATGTTGCACATGTGGGCTAGGCTGGAACAACAGCCGACAAGGCAGCATATGGCACAGCACACCATAGGGGCCAGCAAGGTGAGCATGGGATGAGTGGACATGTGGCAATGCCAACAGCGACCGCACTTCAATGTGGGTGAGTGTGGTGGAGTGGACTTGTGATGGTGAGCATAACGAAAAGGGAAAGTGCAGCTGCTGAGAGTTTAACTTGTGATCTCTAAGACTAAAGGTGAGAAACCGTCCACTGGGACATGCTGCACAACAGTGCTGAATAGACGACTCGTTAGTGTCGCATGGATGACTCATACGCACGTCCTTTTTGCTGGCTGTCCGTGTAGTGCACGTCCTCTTAAGTGCCTTTTTGTTCTGTTTTTGCGCACGTCCTCATTCATTTGCAGGGAAAATTGCGTATACGTGGAAAAAAATGCATGTTGTTTTGTTTTCCCTTGAGTGCGGATCCCATGTCGCAGCACTTGCGCACGTGCCAAGACATGTGTGTTTCTGCCTTCTCAACTTCCTCTCACCAATACGAGTACTGTCAGATAATGGTTTGGGGCACCTCAGAATGCCACACACCCTTTATTTCTCTTCGCACACAACCCCTTTTGTCACCCTTGTTGGCTCCATGTGCACGCGTCCATTCCTCACACTCACTCTCCCCCTGTGGATGCGCCTGGCAGGTACTTCTATTACAACGGCCTGCCACCCCCCACGCTACTTAAGTTCGTGGCCAACGTGGACCACATGGTCATTCAGAAGTCCTATTGGGTACGCCCTTACCCTCCAACCCTCATCTGTCTCAGTGGGTACGCACGCCCTTAACCTCCAACCCTCTTTTGTCTCAAGGTACGCTGTTACCCTCCAACCCTCTTCTGTCTCAGTGGGTATGCCCTTACCCTCCAACCCTCTTTTGTCTCAGTGGGTACGCTCTTACGCTCCAACCCCCCTTTTGTCTCAGTGGGTACGCCCTTACTCTCCAACCCTCTTCTTGTGAGATTGTGAGCTTGAAGTGATTGACTAGTAATGAGCTCAAGGCTCTCTAAGTACATCAGAAATAGGCAAGGTATGGATGGGGAGGAATCAGGGACAATCTCCAAGGGATCGGGGGCAATCCCAAGGCAATCTCCAATTGGTGGGTTGGAGATTGCTTGGTGATCACATTTGGGTTTGGTTGAGATATGGGTATACACTCAACAAAACTCGAAGTGCAAACTACACTATGCTAGAATATAAAAGTGCAAATACAAAAGTTGAGATTGAGGCTAACACTAACACCCCCCCATATACGTCAATCGAACTCATGACAGAGGAGGGGCACACAGCCTTATGGCGCCAAGAAGATGATAGTGTGGGACCTTCCCAAGGGGCTTGGAGCGAGTGTAAAACACTGGATCCTGGGAGAGGTGGATGGCACCTTTGTAATCACACTAGAGGGTGGGAGCAGGCTGAGGGTAGCCAAGCTCCTGGAGGAGGAAGGTGAGCCAATGGGCATCTTGAGCTGCCATGGTCTCAGCGTATATTTCTGCCTCACAGGAGGAGAGGGAGACCACAGACGACCTGGTAGAGTGTCAGCTAACAACTCCACTTCCAAGGGTGAAGAAGTAGCCCTAAGAGGAGTGTCGGTCGGTCTGGTCATCAGCCCAAGAGAAGTCACTGTAGCCCTCCAGAGTAGGAGAAAGACCACCAAATGTGAAGACATGAGACTTGGTGCCTTGCAGATGGCGCAGCACCCACTTCGCCGCCTTCCAGTGGAGATCGATGAAACATCCAGGAGCCACATAGCGAGAGAGGACACTGACAGGATATGCCACATCAGGCCAGGTGCACATCATGGCGTACCTGAGGGACCTAACAAGGTCAGGGTATGGCTCGTAGCAGGCCTCTGGTGTGGGTATAGCTGGAGCTGTGAGGAGGTGTTGTAGCGGCAGCGGGGTGGCCGTGGGTGTGCAGGATTCCATCTCAAGGTGCTTGAGAACATTGTCAATGTAGAACTCTTGGGAGAACGAGACGGTGCGAGCCTGACGATCACGAATGATCCCCGTCCCCAAGTAGTGCTTGAGGTCACCAATGTCCTTCATCAAGAGGGCCTTGCTCAGGGTAGTCTGGATAGAGGTCATCTGGGCCGAGTCTTTGGAGACGAGGATGAAGTCATCGATGTAGACAAGGATGTAGAATGGCTCATAGTGATTGCAAATGAAAAATTTCGGGTCAGGAGATGATGGGTGAAAGTCCGATGAGAGGAGGACCTTCTTCACCTTGTTGCGCCACTCATGAGGAGCTTCCAGACAGTGTTGGGAGGAAATTCTCCCGGAAAGCCTTCAGGTCGATCCAAGAGCACAGTCTCTTTAAGGTGTTCTTGCAGAATTGCCGAAGAGGCGCCCATGGATTTGATTTCCATGTTTTCTCGTGCGGCCGTATCCAAGAGCGTGCGAACGGTGGGTGATTAGGCCATGGGAGAGAAGGTCCTGAAAAAAGTCAAAAGTGCTGCTGCTGAGTGAATTCTTGGCCACACAACACACTTTGAACATTGAGCCTCATCCAAAAGCCTTTTCACTTGAAACAGCCACGTGCCTTCAAAGATGTTGACTCCTAGAGGTGAAGTTTCGTCGTCGAAGAAGTGGTTGCGAGTGAAGGCTTCGCATTCATCTCTCATGTCATTGCGCCACTCAGCAGCATAGGGACCCGAAAGAGCCTCTTGGATAGTGAGAGGGATGAGGATGTCGGGTTCTCTGAGAAGTTGAGTGAGGGTGAGTCAGTGATATCAGGAAAGATGTGCTAGAGCACCGAATGGCGAGTGCGAGTGGAAGTGCAGGCTTGCGAGACTGCGGAGATGAGGGTGTAGCGGGCGGGGCTGGAGGGGTCGGTAAAGGAGGCGGGGCCGGAGGAATCGGCCGCCGCTGGTACGTGATCGGTGCACTCGATGGTGGGAGAGCGGGTGGCAGAGTGGAAGAGGGAATGGAGGGAGGACGCGGGGTCGGATGGGTCGACCGCCGCTGGTATGTGATAGGTTCGCTCGGTGGTGGAAGTGCGGGTGGCTGAGTGGGAGAGGGGAGGGATGGAGGAGCAACTACCGAGGACACTGGTGAGGGCGAGGTAGAGACCTCGGAGAGGGTTGGTGCCATGGCAGGAGTAGTAGGAGGTGAGGGAGCCGGTGCAGGCGGAAGTCCAGGAGGCACATCAAAGTCAGCCCACACAAGGGAGGTGGTCCGGTGGGAGAATCCCCCCCTAACGTAGAGTAGAAAGGGCGAGTCTCTTCAAAGACAACGTCTCGGTTGCGGACCAGTTGGTGAGTAGTGGGGTTGAGGAAGAGGTAGTCAGGGGAGTCGGCATTATGCCCAAGATATATGCACGTTCGAGTCTTGGGGCCGAGCTTGCCGTCTTGCTGCCGCCGAGCCTAAGGGTTGAGGAGGACATAGGCGGCGCACCCCCAGACACGAAGAGGGCGAGCTGTGGGTGCTTTCCCGAGTGAGAGGGTGGTGGGAGTGGTGTCGGGAAGATGCGGATGGGGTGGGGGTAAAGATTGTAGAGGAGGGCAGCATGGTAAAGGGCATACCCCTAGAATGAGAGTGGTGCGTGGGAGCTAGACATGAGCAAAGAACCGAACCTAGGTTCGGTTCGCTCGAACCGGTTCAAATTAAAATGAACCGAACTTTTCTCTTGGAAAATGTTTGCGCAAACCTTGAAAAAGTTTGCGCGAACCGTTAGAGCAAACTTTTATGGTTCAAGTTTCGAACTTCGAACCGGTCCGGTTCGAAGTTCGAAACAACAATTTTCAAACTTCGCGGGGTTCAAATTAGACCCCGCCAGAACCCACTCGACTTTCCCGTCAAAATTGGGAAAGTCGTCGAGGTGGCTGCCATTTCACGGCAGCCAACCCTAAGGTCGTAAGTTAGGTAGAGCAGATCTAGATCTGCTCCTAAGTACCACACCCAAGCTCCCACACTACTATTCATTCACTACAACTCCCTCTTAAGATGTGTCATACGTTTAGGTGTTAGGTTAGATAGTACACTGCGCATAACTATATTTTTTAGCTAGAGGGGAGCATTCCGATTTTTAGCTAAACCCTGGATTTCTTTTTACCCTCTCATTTGCTGTTCTGTTTTGTACTTGATACTCTCGCTGAACCGTCTGACACGCATGCCTTTTACATTTCCTTGTGCATCATCTTTACCCCCAAACCTAACTAGGTTCGAGTTCGCACAAACCTTTAAGGTTCGCTGTTACATATACAAACCTCAAATCTCAACATAAGTTCGAACAAACAAGTTCGGTTTGGTTCGACCCCCATGCAAGGTTCGAAAAAGTTTGAGCAAACATGTTTGAGTTCGGTTCGTGCTCATATCTAGTGGGAGCGATCAACACCAAAGTGCGATTACGGCTCTTTGCTATGCCGTTCTGCTGCAGGTTGTCGGGAAGGGTGAAGTTTTGCTGAATGCTAAGAGAGGAGTTGAAGGCTTCAAGCTTGGCGTTTGCAGAATTCACCACTACCATCCGAATGGAGGCGCTTGACCTTGGTGCCAAAGGTGACCTGCGCCTGTTTGACCCACACCATGATGGCCTTTGGAGCCTCAGCCTTAGTGTGAAATAGGTGCACAGAGTCGTAACGAGAGTGGTCATCAACTATTGCAAGGAAATAGCGATGACCACCCCATGTGGTAACCGGCGCACGGCCTCAGGCGTCCATGTGCATTAGGTCCAATGGGGCTGCTGCGACAGAGGGTGAGGCGGGGCGAAGTTGTTGGCACAGCTTACTCTTGGTGTAGTCAGGCACGTGGGAGCGGGAAAGTCAGGTGGTGGAGGAAGCGAGGCTGGTAGGCCGAGAAGAAGCTTCTTTGAGGCTATGTCTGCAAGCGTGCGCATATTTGGGTGCCTGAGCCGATGGCGGTAGAGGATGGCCGGGTTGGCGAGACTACGTCATGAGCATGGTGTGATAGCAGCCTGTGCTTGGGTGGTTGACACCTGTGGGGCCGGTAAACACATCGTGTAGAGGCCACTGCTGTTGAGGGTGAAGCGAGCTAAGATCTTGTTTGTGAGTGGGTCGATGATGTCACAATAGACAGCGTCAGCCTTCTGAATTTCAATTTGGGCCACTAGATTGCGGCGTAGTGAAAGCACGTACATGCCAGTGACAGTGTCGGATGGGAAGGCGGGGCAAATGACTATGGACGACCCCTTAGCATGAGTGGTGAAGCTCGAGTCCGCTCCCAAGAGAGGAATGGGTACTGAGTAGGGTTGGAAGGAGTGTTTCTCTTTGGGTGCTGTGTGCATGGCCCTACTGTCGAGTGTGAATTCTATGTAGTGTGGTGTCTGTGGTGAGCTGATGTACTGCGAGGTCGCTTCATTAATCATGGCAGTGCCATGGAACAACATGTTGATACGCACATCAGCACGAGCACTATAACTAGCACTAGCCTGAGCGGGTTCCTGTGTCTCGACTAGGTTGACCTTACGAGTGCGCATTCAGTTCGGCAGCTTCTTGTCGACTCCATGGATGGCATACCATCCGTCGTCCTTCTTCTTGAAGCACGTAGCAATGGGGCAGTTAGTGCCACCACACACTTGTCCCTTGCGGTTGCCATACATGGAGGGAAGCGATTTCGCTGGAAAGGTGCCAAGGTAACACTTGTTTGAGGCACGGGAGCACGGAGGGCATGGACTTTGACTTGAGTCGTGGTGTCTTTCTCGGTGGAGAGACCTTATGAAGGTGAGGTCTTCCGTCGAGAGTGTGAGGAGCATCTTCCTCGAGACTTCGTATGCCAAAGTGAGGCCGACAAGAGAAGCGGATGCTGGAGCTTGCTCAGAGAAGACTATGCCGAGTTCCTTGAGCTCGCCATGAATAGTATGAACCTTGACGATGAGGTTGGCAATAGTGAAGGAAGCGAATGCCATGTTGACAATATTTTTCCTTTCCGCACGAAGCGCAGCTCTTAAGTCGTCGTAGGTAGAATTGTAAGGTGGGGTTTCCGAAGGAGAATTGTAAGGTTTACGAAGGAGAATTCTAAGGTAGGGTTTACGAAGGAGAATTGTAAGGTGGGGTTTACGAAGAAGAATTTTAAGGTAGGGTTTAGATAAAGCCGCTCCAGGGCGACAGGCGGCAACCCGAAGGTGACGATGCCGGGCGACAGGCGGCAGCCCGACGAGAAGTTGCGGGGCGATAAGTGGCAGCCCGAAGATGACGCTGCAGGGCGATGGGCGTCACCCGACGAGAAGCTGCAGGGCGACAGGCGTCAGCTCGACGAGTAGGAGAAGTGCCGCATATTCGTTCAACAGAAAAAACGCTATTAGCGATACGCAGACGATTCGCTTTGCAAAAAACGCGGAATTCGTGGTGACAGTAGGGAGATTGGCGCGGGAAAATTTCCAGTTAGAGATGTCGCAAATCAACGGCAACGAGATTGACGGCGGCTTCGCCGAAGAATGCGGGATGAGAATCCGCAAAGGTAAGAGGATCACGATCCGCGTGTGCGATTACGCAGCTCTGATACCATGTGAGAACTTCAGCTTAAAATGATTGACTAATAATGAGCTCAAGGCTACATCAGAATTGGGCAAGGTATGGATGGTAAGGGAATCAGGGACAGTCTCTAGAGGATTGGGTGCCTTAGTTGCGAAAGACGCAGGGCGCGTCATGCGTCCTGCGTCTGGACGCAGCGTCCGGACGCAGGGACGCAGGACGCACGGCGGTTTTTTTTCGGGCTGACCGGATTTTTTTTTTTGCCAGCGCGAAGTTGACATTCGCGATTTCGACGCGACTGTCAAATTCGCGACATTTCGACCCCCCCTAACCCATTTCGACCATCAAAAACAGCCCATCACCAAAATTGTAAACCCAACCCCTCACAACCCAACTACGTCTAGAAAACCAAACCATGGTGGACCACCACCAAGCCCATCTCTTTATATGAACATTATTCTCCTTCTTGAACCCTAGAGGGTTTAGCTACCTTTTTCTCCTCAGTGCTACCTTTCGCTCCATAGCTACCTTTTTGCCTCACATGTGTGATACGTCGTCCCCCCCCCCCCCTTCCCATGCCCTACAACGTGTTTTTTTGGCTGCCCGGGGGATTTTTTTGCCCTGTCCAGGCATGCGTCTTTTGTAGCGTCTCCCAGGCCCACATGAAGCGTCCTGCGTCCAAGACGCTGCGCTTGGACGCACCCGTCTAAGACGCAGGACGCGTCTTTTGCAACTAAGTTGGGTGCCATCCCATAGCAATCTCCAATTGGTAGGTTGGAGATTGCTTGGTGATCAAATTTGGGTATGGGTGGGATGTGGGTGTACATGCAACCAAGCACCAAGTGCAAACTACATTATGCTAGGATGTAAAAGTGGAAATACATGATGTTGCGATTGAGGGCTAACACTAACACTTCTGCCTCAGTGGGTACGCCCTTACCCTCCAATCCTCTTCTCTCCTGCAACTCTAGTTTTGAGGCTTCTAGGAGCACTCATTCAGATGTCACAGTGGGTAAGGTCCTCCGCTCTTCTCTCCCCTCCCATGCACTCCCATGCCCCTTCTCGCCTTCACTCTTCTCGCCTTCACTCTTCTCGCCTTCACGCTTCTCTCCACCTTCCCATCAACAACGCAAACTCCTTCTCACCCTCACCGCCCTTCCTTCGCAACCTGGCTCGCCAACCCTTTTCCCTTATGTCAACCTCTTCCACCTCACCCTCGTGCCATCTTGACTCTCGCTTCTTCCTCTCACCTTCACCCGTCTCTGTTTCTGCTTCCTCTGTGGCCACCCCCCTTCTTTTATCCCCTCCCTCTCCCCCACCCCCCCCCAACCCCTCTTCCCCCCTCTCCCTCCCCCCCCACACTGCCGACATCTCCCTCCGCTTCTCACCCCTATTTCCTCTCGCCTTTATTTCGTTGTCACCCCTCCCCCTCCCTGGTTCTCTTGTTGTCTTCCACCGAATCTTTCAGGCTTATGATGCTGCCATCTCCTTCCTCTCCTCTCTCCTGCACGTCAACTCCTCCTGCGCCTCTCTCCCCGCCTCCTCCCGTCCCTCCCTCACCTGGACTCGCCCCACCACCCCCACCCCCGCCGCCCTCATCCCCCACACCACCTCCTCCTCTCCAGACCCAACTCCCTCTCACACCCCTCACAGCTCTCAGCCTTCCAGTCTCACAGACGCAGAGGCAGCAGCAGTGGGGGCAGCAATGGCAGAGGCACAAAATCCCCCCTGGAAGTGCGTTCCTGACCTGCCAGCTGTTGATTGGCCGCAGTTGAGGTGGCAGTTTGATTGGCCCACGTTCACGATCCATGCCACGTCAGACAGGAAACCATTGGCAGTCAGGGCATGGTGAGAAGGAAGCGGGGGGAGGGGGGAGGGGCGCGGAAGTGGAAGACGGAGAAGGGGGAGGGGAAGGCATTGGCAGATAGAGCGTTGTGAGAGATGGGGAGGGTAATGGGTAGGGTGATGGCGGATGGGGTTGGAGAGGGTGATAAGGGAGGAGTGGATACGTGGAGGGGAGTGCTAGTAGGAAGGAATGGAGGTATTGACGCTCGTAGAGCTTATTACCTTAAAAATTACATATATTTAAAGAGGTTGTTATGGAATTTACTATCTTTCCGACTAAAGAGTTAATTGTTATATATAGGACCCCAAATATTACTAAAATTTGAGCCGCATTGCTGTAAGTCACATCAGTTCCATGCCCCCCTCTCCCCGGATGCAGGACTGGGCGCACGAGGCCGGGCAGCAAGCGGCGGGACTTCCGGTTCATTGTCAAGCAAGGGCTCACTGGGTGGTGAGTGCGGCGCAGTGCAGGGGAGGTGGTGGGGTGGTGAGTGCGGTGCAGGGGAGGTGGTGCAGTGATGAGTGCGGTGCAGGGGAGGTGGTGGGGTGGTTGAGTGCGGTGCAGGGGAGGTGGTGGGGTGGTTGAGTGCGGTGCAGGGGAGGTGGTAGGGTGGTGCCTGTTCTGCTCTCACCTCGTCCCTTGGAACATCCTCTTCAGGTTCATTGTCAAGCAGGGGCTTACAGGGTTGTGAGTCCACGGAAGGGGAAGGTGGGATTGATGAGTGCAGGGGAGGGGAAGGTGGTAGGGTGGTGAGTGCAGGGGAGGGAAAGGTGGTAGGGTGGTGAGTGCAGGGGAGGGAAAGGTGGTAGGGTGGTGAGTGCAGGGGAGGGAAAGGTGGAAGGGTGGTGACTGCGATGCAGGGGAAGAAATGGGTTCCGAGGCTCAGATGAACGGTGGATGGATGTGTGAGAATGTTGGATGAGGTTCAAATCTTCTGTTTCGTATTCATGGTCAAGCAGGGGCTCACCAGGTGGTGAGTGCAAGGAAGGTGGTGAGTGCAAGGAAGATGACTCGCGTTTGTTATTCATGCCTTTTCTAGACTCCTGTGGTGTTATTCCGGCAGGTGGGTCCATGCGCATGGGGTGTTGCACCTGGTAACAAATCTGCTCGTGTGTGTTCATTGCCACGTGAGTGAGCAAATTGTTCTCTCCTCTCCTCTACCCTTACCTCTCCATTCATCTCCACCCCTCCTCCCCTGCTCCTCGCCAGCACGGTGCCATTCAAGAGTGCGCCGGGCAGCTACACTGCCAAGTTCGGCACGCTCTGTGTGCAGCCCATCCCGTTCCTCCTGCACACTGTCTCGCCGCCCGCGCTGCAACCCGATAAGCTCTGGTACTTCAATTCCTCCATCAGAGACATTCCCAAGGTGAGTGTGATGAAGTGTGATTGCGTGTGGTGGAAGGAATAAGTGTTATGAAGTGTATTTTCTTTTTACGGAGTGCTAAAAGTTCAATGAAGTGTGGAGATGTGGTAGTTACATTTTTCAGGGCATGTTACATTTTTCATTTTCCATGGTCCGTACTGTCCGCCATCCGGACGAACGGCTGGTTAATCTTGTCGCTCAAACTCGTAAAGATGTTCCATACACCATATAGGTATGGCAATCTGTTCGTCAGTGAGCATGCAATGTCGCACACGTCCGTACCGTTGATGAATCATTTTCATTTTTTTTTGCACTCAATAACGCACGGACAGTGTCCGTTCGTTTGCTGGACTGTCCATTTTTTTTGCGCTCAATAACGAGCAGTGATATAATTGACGGGCGAAAAACAGGTACTAAACCGATTTACCCAGTTACAATAACAGCGGCTCGGAAATCCATTGAGCATAGCCAATTGCACAAGTTGATAACATTGGGCAGAGTTGCACGACTCGAATACATCGAACGAACGACGAAAGAGCACTAGAAATGCTCAAACGAAACGAATGGAAGATTGTACTAGCACAGGGTGGACTCTACTTCTCGTTTTGAACTAGGAACCCATCGAAGCCCCTGACAACCCCCCACCACCAAACCTCGCTGTACCTGCAATTTCATTTTCGAGATGCGTTGTGGGCCTCACGAAAGTTGCGAAGTCATGTTGATCATGTTACAAGTGTACATTATTTAGATACAGAACGTTCCACAATCACCGTCTGGACAAGGCACGGTCCGGACATATGCCCCGCTCCGTCCGTATGCGCTATTAGTACCATACAGGGACCATCGTCTGGACAATTGCCTAACAAAGAAAATGTAATACGCCCTTATGGGGAATCGCTTCCAAGTAAGGCGTGACATGGCAAGGAAGCAAGTGATGCTCTGCTTCAGCTACATGATCATACTTTCGGTGGCTATTATAGCTGTGATGTAATTTCAAACAACCTGGTTCTTCTAAATTCCCACCAGATGATGCTATATCCTGCCCTTAAGCATCATATATGCCTTCACAGTCCAGCGCCCACTTCCTCTGCTTGTTTTATCGAATGTCCCTTATATGCCTTGACCAAACTTTCACCTAAATGCAAGTTTCCCACATTTACTCTGTTCTCTCCATTGTACTCTTGTGCACAGGTGGGGTATCAAGCACTGTTTATTGAAGTTGATTTCAAGCACGGACCCTACCATAAGCCCTTTGTTCTCACCACTGAATCCATGATAGCACCAAACACATTTCCATTTGCCCCATGCAATAGCACTGCTTGCTTGACTGAATTTGCATGACTTAGCTATCAGGTTTTTTGTCAAACTATGTTTGTACATTTAGATATGCTATAGTGAGTTGGATGTTAGGGGGTACAAAACTTTCTCGACACTTAGTTGTATCCTTCCCTTTGACCTAGTATCACCATTCTCTCGTTGCTCAAGCAAGTAGGTTCTTAAGATGGTATCACTAGTATGTAGGTCAGTTCCTAGCCTAGCCCCGAATCGCCCCGCCCCTTAGCACGTCGTGCCGCGTCCCCTTAGCAGGCCGCGCCCTGTCCGTTCGCAGGCCCCGCCCCTAGCCTGCCCCGTCGTCACGCTCCTTACCCGCCCGCGCCCCACCCTGCCCCTTACCCTCGCGCGCAACCCGCGCGCCCCCACTAGCTCGCACAGTCGCACGCGCGCGCAGCCACCCATACGCAGCAGCGCACGCGCACGCGGGTGCACGTGCACCAGCAGTACGAATAGCAGCCACGCAGTGCAGCTGCCGTCCGCACGCACGCTCGCCACCCGCGCACAGCAGCGTCAACACGCGCAACAGCAGCCGCACGCGTTGCAGCAGCCGCACGCGCTGCAGCAGCCGCGAGCACGCACGTCACTGCACGCGTGCGAGCAGCAGCCTCCCGCACACGGGACAGCCATTGCACGCACGGCTTCAGCAGCAGCTGCACACTCCTCTGCGGCCACTCGCACGCACGCCCTGCAGCAGCCGCAGCCACGCGCGTGCAGCGGCAGCAAGCGCAGCACCTGCCTCCGCATCTGCAGCGAGCGCAGCAGCTGCAGCCCGTGCTCCAGAATCCGTTTCTAACCACTACTATCCGCCCCTACCAGCTCCTCACCACTCCTATCCGCCTCTACCCGCTCCTCACCGCTCCTCACCGCTCCTAACCGCTCATACCCGCCTCTAACCGCTCCTCACCGCTCCTAACCGCTCTCGACCGCACTCCACCGCTTTGAAGCGTACATGACCGCTCCCCACCGCACTCAAACGCACCCACCCACACCTTTCTGCACGTGCAGCACCTTCCTACCGCCTACTGCCACTGGCTTTCCACTCGCAGCGGCTGGCGGCTGCAGTACCCTCTACTAGCGTGACCTAGGCTCGACCCTCTGACTTCATTTGTCCCTCGCCTCGCTCGAATCTCAATTAGCACTTAGGCCTCGCTCGTTACTCGTTTCGGCTCATCCTAGCCTCGCCACTCTGGCTTAGGTCGCTCCTAGCTCAGGCTGTTCCTCGCCTTGTCTCTTCGGGCACCGTACGCCTCACTTGTTTCTAGCTCCGGCCCCTTCTAGCCCTGTGCTTCTAGGCCGGTAGTTCCCTCGTTATGGCGGCCCCTCGTGTACTGCGCTTTGATGCTGAGGGTAGAGCCCTAGAGCTCCCCTCCTGGCTCATCTGTGCCGAGCGGTTTCTCAAGAGCCAGCGCCAGGACAATGATACGATCTGGGCGCACGCTTCCGGTGACCTGCCTGAGCCTCCGTCCCCTCTTGACCTTGGTGCTGAGCCTGACGAGGCGGCCCAGGCGCGCCTGATAAAGCTCGTACCGCTCGTTCAGTGTGGCAGTCGCGTGACGCTGCGGCATGCATTGCCCTCTCCAACCTTCTCCCTGAGACTGAGGAGGCTCACTTCTCTCAGGTTCGATTTGCCAAGCACCTGCTCACTGCCATTAAGACACGTTACTCCACTCCCACCTCCGCCTCTCTTAGTCGCCTCTTTCTGCCGTTTCTCTTTCCTGACTTATGCTCGTTTGACCGCGCTGCTGATCTTATCACCCACCTGAGCTCGCTAGACGTGAGCTAGCGTGCTGCTTGTACTGAGGCTCAGCTTGCACTGCTCCCCCCGCCCATGGCGATCACTATTCACTTTATCGCCACTAGCCTCCCTGACCGCCTTGCACCTGTCCGTGACGAGCTTCTTCGGAAGCACTGTAGTGAGCTCACCATCGATGTTCTTGAGACCGCTCTCAAGGACATCGAGAGCAATATCCGCTCCGTTGCCTCCGCATCTGGCGCTGTAGTTCCCCCGCTCTTTTAGGGGTGCACTGTCCCACAGCTTTCCACCTTCACTGCTTCTCTTGCCTCTACTGCGTCTCCTTCTCTTTTGGAGACTGCGGCCGTGTCCACCGCGGGTGGATGGTCCAGGGGTAAGGGAGGTAAGAGAGAGGGGAAGGGTGGTGGTGCTGGTGGTGGTGGCGGAGGTGCCGGAGGCTCTGGTGACACTAGTGCGTCTGGTGGAGGCAACACTGGGAGCGGCCCTGCGCCTGCCAGCCTGACGGGAGGGGGTGCTGGTGCGGGTACGTGGTACACGGCACAGCGGCGGCAGCAGTCCCAGCAGCAGCAGCCACAGTCAGGACAGCCGTAGCAGCAGGGACAGCCGCAGCAGCAGGTTCAGCGGCAGGTGCAGCAGCAGCCTCAGCAGCGGGGACCCGGTGGACTAGGGAGCGCTGGTCGTGGGGTGGTCCGCCCAGCTCGGCGTTGCGTGGTGTAACTCCGCCTCCCTGCCCGTACGTGGTTCAGTCAGGCGGTCGTGCGGGTTCTCGCTATGGCCGTTTCCACGCTTCGGGTCAGTGCTTTGCGCAGCTTACTGACCGCGTCCGCGCACAGTTCGGCCTTGGCCCTGCTCCTGACTGGTCCCTGCTTGCTCGCTCTCGTGGACTTGCTTTGTGGGACTTTTCTGCGGCAGAGTTAGTTGATGCTTTAGACTCTGTTTCTGTGATGTATGCTGATGTTGATTAAAGTGTTGCTGGATCTATTTGCTCGAGTGTTCGTAGTTTAGGTTCTTTACCTGTTGCTAGTGTAGATCTTTGTCTCTCTAGTCTAGGTGCTTGTGTTTCCGCACTAGGTGCTTGTGTAGCTACCAGCCCAGGTGCACCTACGGCTGAGGCGTCGCTGTCCTTCACGCTGGACTCTGGCGCATCGCAGTGCTTCTTCCGCGGCCACACGACTCTCACACCGCTTCTTGCTCCGGTTCCGGTTGCACTAGCTGATCCTACTTCAGGACCAGCGGTTGCACGCAGCTCTACCACCCTCCCATGCCCGGTTGTCCCCTCTGGTGTCCTTAGAGGTCTCCATATCCCCTCGTTCACTCGGAACTTGGTGGGTGTTGGATACCTCTAAGATAGGGGGATCACAGCTACCTTTCTGGGAGGCGGGAAGACTGCACTCCGCACGGACTCTGCCACCGGTGTCGTTCTTGCCAGGTTTACCAGAGAGTCTTGCTCCGGTCTCTACATTCTGCACACTGAGCGCTTCCAGGTAGCTTCGTCCCCTCATGTTGTTGTGTCCCCTCAGGTTGCGGTGTCTGGCCAGGTGGCTGTGTCCGGTCTGGTTGCTGCGTCTTGCTCTTGTCGGTCATTCTCTCACCCGACAGTCTTGTGGCACCACCGTCTTGGTCACCCGTCTCTCTCACGCCTCCGCAGCATGGCTAGCCAGCGTCTTGTCTCAGGTCTCCCGCGCGTCTTTGCGTCGCTCCCTCCTTCGCCTGCGCCGTTGTGCACTCCTTGCGTCGAGGGTCGGCTGCGCGCAACTCCTCACTCCTCCTCCCTTCGTCCGGCCACTGCACCTTTCCAGACTCTCCACTTGGACGTCTGGGGCCCCGCCCCTCGCCCTGGGCCGGAGAGGGAGAGTTTTTTTCTAGTGGTCGTTGACGACTACTCCCACTACACCACCATGTTCCCTCTGGTGAAGAAGTCTGACGTGACTTCTACGCTGATCTGGTGGTTGCTGGCCACTGAGACCACACGTGGCCGTCGTGCTAGTTGTCTTCACTCCGACCGTGGGGGCGAGTTTCGCTCTGGCATTCTTCGCGGATTCTGTAGCGAGCAGGGCATCACCAAGTCTTGGACGCTTCCAGAGTCCCCACAGCAGAATGGGGTTGCTAAGCACCGCATAGGCTTGGTCATGGTGATTGCCCGTACCTCCATGATCCATGCCCGTTCGCCCCATTTTCTTTGGCCCTACGCGGTTCGCTACGCCGCCCACCAGCTGAATCTCTGGCCTCGTGTCTCTCGGCCAAGGGCTTCACCGACCAGTCTTTGGACCGGGTCCCCTGGTGTCGCGTCGGAGTTTCGAGTCTAGGGCTGCCTTGCGCTTGTCTGTGACATCTCTGCGGACAAGCTCTCGGCTCGTGCCATCCCCTGTGTCTTCCTTAGTTTCCCGGTGGACTCCTCTGACTACACCTTTTACCACCCGCCCCTCCACCGGTTCCTTGACTCTCGTGACGTCCGGTTTAACGAGTCCATGTCCTACTACACCCGGTACCCCTGTCAAGGTCTCCCAGTCCCCCCCCCTCCCCTTTTTCTCGCCCCCTCTCCTCTTCCTGCTCTCTCTCCTCCGGTACCCCCGCCCCCCCCCTGGTCCCGCCCTGTCAGGCGTGTCCCACGCTACCCCTCTACCCTCGGTTGCGCGTCAGGTAGCGTCTCCGCAGTCGTCCTCACAGTCCCCTCAGAAGCCTTTGGCACTTCCGCGACAGGTTACTGTGGACTCCGGGGGTGCTGGAGCTGGAGGTGCTGGCGCTGGAGGTGCTGGTTCCGGGGGTGCTGGTGTTGGGGGCACGAATGCTGGGGGTGCTAGTTCTGAGGGTGGTGGAGCTGAGGGTGTTGGCGGTGGAGGTACTAGTTCTGAGGGTGCTCGAGCTGAGGCTACTGGCACTGGAGGTGCTCGTTCTTGAGGTACTCTTACTGGGGATGCTGGCACTGGCGGTGCTAGTTCTGGGGGTGCTCGTCCTGGGGACATTAGTTCTAGGGGTGCTGGAGCTGGAGGTGATAGTTCTTAGGAGACTGGAGCTGGAGGCACTGTTACTGTAGCGCCTACCCCACCTCTCCACCGCTACCCAACGAGTTTCCAGAGGCTTTGTCAGCTCGAGCGCGAGAAGCAGGAGCGGTTGGAGCAGGAGAGGCTGGGGCTGGAGCGGCAGTGGCAGGAGTTGCAGCAGCAGGCCCAGCAGCAGCAGCAGGAGCAGCGACGGCGGCACCAGCAGCAGCAGCAGCAGCAGCAGCAGCAGCAGCAGCGGCAGCAGCAGCAGCAGCAGCAGCAGCAGCAGCAGCAGCAGCAGCAGCAGCAGCAGCAGCAGCAGCAGCGGTAGCAGCGGCGGCAGCAGCAGCAGCGGCATCAGCAGTAGTAGCCGCAGCAGTCGCAGCAGGCGCGGCCCTTGCAGCCGTTGTTTCCACCCGTGAGTGGCCTTCGGGCCCTTGGAGTTCCTTCCTCTCCTCCAGACCGTTCACTGTCTCCCCCTGTTTACGGTCCTACGTTCCCCCCCCTGGACTTTTCTGTAGCTGTCTTCTCTCCTCCTCAGTCACAGTCTCTACTCATGTTGTCCCGCACGACTGGACAGTGCGTTGTCCCGCTCGTGCACGTCCCTCGTCTCCTTTTGACGACCTCCGCACTGTCTTGCTTTGTTCGAGTCTCCGTCATTCTCCACCTCAGTCTGTTCTCCCATCACCTGCTGAGTCGTCTCTTACAGCCTCCATGTCTACCCCTATCACTGACTACTACCGTGCCACCCGTCCTGTTGTCACTCGTGTTCTCGCCTCTCTAGTCATGGACCCTCATGCCTCTCTGTCGTCTGTCTCAGCTCTTTCTGCCACTATCGCTGACTTTTCCGCCACTCGTCACCTTGACTACGCCACCCGTGTGGTAGCTGCCTGTCCTCTGTCCGCCGGGGGTGAGTCTGCCCTTGGCTGTGACGTCCTAGAGGACAGGCAGTTTGAGCTGGAGTTCTTGGCGGCCACTTCTCCCCATCTCTGTGCCATGCTGCTAGCTCTTGAGGGAGACCCCGACGCCCTTGACATACCGACTCCATGCACGTACCGT